CGGGTGGCATCGTTGTGGCACTGCAGGAGGCCCAGGATGGACATGTCATCTGAGGAATGGGAGGGGGAGTTGAAATTGTTCGCGACTGGGAGGTGCAGTTGTTTGTTGCGAACCGAGCGTAGGTGTTCTGCAAAGCGGTCCCCAAGCCTCCGCTTGGTTTCCCCGATGTAGAGGAAGCCACACCGGGTACAGCGGATACAGTATACCACATTGGCAGATGTGCAGGTGAACATCTGCTTGATGTGGAAAGTCTTCTTGGGGCCTGGGATGGGGGTGAGGGAGGAAGGTGTAGGGGCAGGTGTAGCACTTCCTGCGGTTGCAGGGAAAAGTGCCGGGTGTAGTGGGGCTGCATATGACTCCAGATCCACAGAAATGCAGTTAACTTTTGTCTGCCCTCTGAAAGGGCTTAAGTAACTCATCAATTCAAGGGCAATGAGGGATGGACAACAAATGTTGGCCTTAACAACAGCACTCACATACCATGAAAGATTAAAACAAAAACTGTGGTCACAGGGCTGTAACAAAAATTTCAAACCTTCCTGAATTGAGTGCTAACAAGCTATTAGCCCTTTTGCACTTCTTGAGTTCTCTGCCCAAAGGAAGGTCTGACCTACAGCAATAAAGCATCCATCAGTGCTAGGTCAAGGCAGCAGATTCCAAAACCAGCCCAGTAGAATAGCGATTGAACCTCATTCTATTGGCACCAATCTGATCCACAACAACTTTGCAGCCAAGTAGTCCTGTGGCAACATATACTTTTAGATTCACGAATAGCCTGGAGCATGGATAGTGATGGCAGAAACTTCCATTTGCATTCCATCATATGATTGTGAAATTTTGCCCTTCTTACTGCCTGCCACAAGCATTTGTTGGAAGGATGTGGGAATTGACACTTACGTTCTTTGGTTGTCAACTGCTGGACAGGGACACGAAACCTGAGCCTCTGGCTTAGAGGCTACACCACAAGACCTCAAATCCGTTAGCCTTATTTATTGTTTTGTGCCTGTCTAGAGTTTTTAAAGATACAGACCGAATTTCCCATTTTGTTTCAATTTACAGGTCCAGTGGGGAGTGTATTTGGGATGCACTATGGAGCTCGCCCTGTGGTGATGGTTGGTGCAATTTTAGCTTTCCTGGGAATGCTTACGGCTTCATTTGGACAGAACCTTCTGCACATGTACCTCTCCATTGGACTTCTAACAGGTCAGCACAATATGTTTAATGTAAGCCCTTTGTCGGATTTCTTTATCTGAGTTTATTTCTGTTCTCTTAACTCTCTGTTTACTCTGCAGTTGCACAAACCCTCAGCATTCATAATGGGTTATATTCAAACAAGGAGAAATGTGTGAGAGCTGCAATATGTCTTGACCATCCTGGGTAGTGATTATCTGTCTCTCTCCAATTATTTCCTCCTTAAAAATGTGACTCTCTCACCAGGAAATGGATTCCACAGGCAGTGGCTGTCCTCCAATTTTTTTTGCCCGAATGGCCATTTTGCATACAGAGCTTTGATATTGAATATTGCCTGTCTAACCCACTTGGAAGACCATCATAGCCAAACACAACCCTGTATCCATCAAATGTCCATTTACTATGAATGATAAGTTTCTTGTACAGGTCCACTACTTTACTAACTCTAATTGGAAAGATTTCCGGAGGTCACATGACTTTTCATCACATGTCATCTCATTGTAGAATTTTAGCACAGGACGCTATAAGACCCACTACGTTTGTGCTAGCTCCTTGCTAGGTATTGAATTTGTCCTAGTCAGTTACTCTTTACCCCAAGCCATTCAATTCATTTCTTCTTAAAATATTTATTCAATTCACATTTGAAAGAGTGAGAAAAGAAGTTGGAATAGTTTGAAAAGCAGTGATGACATCACGCCAAGCTTTGGTTTTAAATGCCTGAATGACAAAGGGAAGACAGTGGGAGGTGAGGAGTTCAAGTTTTGAGATCTTGGTGACTATGTAATGGCTACACTCTAATCGAGAGAACGTGCTTCATTGTGTCTTGCTTTGCTCTCCAGGTTTTGGTTGGGCTTTGGTCTTCACCCCCACAATGGCCATGATCTCCAGATACTTCAAGAGGCGTAGAGCCTTGGCGACCGGTTTGGCGTTCACTGGAGTGGGAGTTGCCTCGTTCTTTTTCTCTCCACTGTTTCAGCTCCTGATCAATGGGTATGGATGGCGTGGGGCTATCCAGGTCCTATCTGCAATGATGTTGAACCTCTGTGTCTGTGCAGCCCTGCTTAGACCCATCACCATCCAAGAGGACCTTCTTGTTCCTTCAAGGGGACACCCTGAAAATGTAAAGAAAAGTACCGAGTGTTGTGACAAAGTGACGTCTGCCTTTGATTTGACCCTTTTCCTGCACCGAGGTTTTATGGTGTACAGTTTTGCAATAACTCTGATGACCACAGGATACTTTGTCCCCTATATCCATCTGGTGGCCCATGGAAAGAATCTTGGATTGAGTGATTATGAGGCTGCCTTCCTGCTGTCTGTCACTGCCATTTCTGAGACTGTTGCACGGCTATTTTCTGGTTGGTTGGCAGATCTCAAGCTGATCCGAAAAATCCACATGTTATTCCTTTGGAGTGTTCTCACTGGAATCAGCCTTCTCCTCATTCCTGTTGGGAGTACGTACTACAGTCTAGTAGGGCTCAGTTTTTTTTATGGCTTCTGTTCTGGAGGCCTTGCCCCACTCTTCTTCTCCACCCTCCCAGAGATCGTAGGAATTGGACGGATTCTCAACGCAACTGGGCTCTTTCTGATGCTCCTAAGTATTGGCGGACTCCTTGGGCCTCCCCTATCAGGTAATAAAATATCTTGTTCTGTGTTTTGTTCCCCTCTGTTCTTATTTACATCATCACCGTCACCAAGTATGTTGACTTCTATTGGGATACAATTCTAAAGAGTTTTGACAAAATCCACTGCCTCATCTAAGTAATCATTCATGGCTCTTAAATTTAAGACACTAACAAGTCTAAGAAGGAATTCTAGTGAAAATTCTGTACCCAAAGAAAACTGAGAATGTAGGAATCGCTACTTCACGGACTGCTTCAGGTGATTTTAGCGATGCATTTAAGGGAACACTTAGCTAAACACACAACGGAGTAAGAACAGAAAGACATATTGATAGAATGAGATGAAACAGGATGTGAGGGAACTCGTGGAGCAAAAACACTAGACTAGATCTGTTGGGTTGAATGGCCGGTTTCTGTACTGTGATTTCTGTACAATTCTTACTGTGCAAGGCTGATCATTCTGCAACCAGCTCAACCAGTAGAGACATCACAGGTCATGTCCCCATGTAGTGTCCACATGCAACAAATGGTAATGGTTATCAAAACAGGAGTGGGAACTCTGACAATTTTCCTTTTCCTTGGGAAAAATATCTAAGGGCAATAATGACACCGTCTACTAATCCCTGTCTAAGGTAGGCTAACATAGGAAGGTGGAAAAGGCAATTTTTATGAACTACATAACTCAGCAATCATCTCCTAACCAGCTGATCTGCAGATGGAGCTGAGCTATTCGATATTTAATGATCTTTAAAAAGTAAATTTTATAAACATTGCCAGGAGCACTGCCATTTACAGACAGCTTGTGGCTCTGCTTGTATTTGGCTTAGGCCTGGGAGTGTAGTTGTGACATTTGGTTGTTTATGTGACCTGCTTTTGAAGCCACAGTTAAAGGACTCTACTGCAATATTCATGACTTCAGAGCCTCAGAACATACAAAATTGCTTAACAGCCAATGAAGTACATTTTGAACTTAATTTACTATCGTAATGTAGGAAACACAGCACCCAATTTATGCACAGCAAGATGCCACAAAAAACAGTGATATTATGGATAATCTGTCTTTATAGGTCTTGCAGAACAGTGGGTAGCATCCCTACCACTTAGTCAGAAACTCCAGAATTGAGTGGAATACTAGAACACATTGACCACAGAAGGTGATTTCAAAACAGGCTGATTATAAGCCAGTAAATCCTTCTAAGTAAAACTGAAAGCAGGCTGTAAGATGGGTGAATCTCGTGGTCAACCATTACAAAGGCAATGGCAAACCACTGCATAACTTTGCCCAGAAGTGGATAAAAGAAGTCCATACCCTGATCCTTATAAATGAAGACAGAAGACACTCTGCTTTTACTGATTTTAATTGCATGATAAATATTGGCCAGAACACTTGGAAAAACATTCGTATTCTTGACTAGCAACAAGAATTCTTACATTCACTTGGGGAAAAAGCAGTCAGGGCCTTAGCTTGAGCAAGAGAGGTGATCCTATTGAAATATATAACATTCTGAAGGGATGTGACAGGGTAGGTGCTGAGAAGGATATTTCCTCTCATGTGGGAATCTAGAATTAGGGTCACAGGTTCAAAATAAGGAATCCAATTCAGGATAGAGATGAAGGAGAATTCCTTCTCTAATGAGGTCATTAGTCTTTGGAATTCTGTTCCTCAGTTCTGGTTACCCAGTTATAGGAAGGTTATTATTAAGCTCGAGGATTTACCTGCATGTGGCCAGGTTTGGAAGGTTTGAGTTATAAAGAAAGTCTGGATAGACTGGGACATTTTTCACTGGAATATAGGAGGTTGAGAGGTGACCTTATAGAGGTTTACAAATTTATGAGAGGTATAGATAGAGTTAATGATAGGTGTCTTTTTCCTAGGATGGGGGATTTCATGACTCATTTTTAAGGTGAGAAGAGAGAGATTTAGAAAAGACAGGAGAGGCAAATATTTTACAGAGAGGTTGGTTCGCTTGTGGAATGAACTTCCTGAGGAAGTGGTGGATGTCAGCACAATTAAACATTTAAAAGACACTTCGATAAGTACACGAATAGGAAATGTTTGGAGGAATATGGACCAGGAGCAGGCAGGTAGACTAATTTAGTTTGGGATTATGTTCGGCACAGACTGGTTGGACCGAAGGGTCTGTTTCCGTGCTGCATGACTCTGTGGCTACAACCATGATTCAGAAATCAGTGGATATATTCAAAGCTGAGTTGGTCAGATTTTTGATCAACAAAGGAGTCACTGGTTATGGGAGGGCAGAGAGAAGTGGAGTTAAGGCCGCAATCGGAGCATGCTTGATGGACCAAATAGCCTACTCCTGCTCGTTATTTTCTTCACAGATTTTGGGGCAGGCAGTGACATAATGGTAATATCACTAGTGATCCAGTCCTATAATCCAGTAATTGAAATATCGCATTGCTGTTTGCCAGACTTTGCTATGTTGGTTGACATATTTCCTACATTGCAACCGACCAGGATTGTCTAAGACCACAGTCACATGATTCAGGAGACAAACTCATAGAAAAATAAGAAATTTATTACGAAAATCACTCAAATTCAAACATAAACAAATATAGAATGTTGGTTTATAAATTGCATTGATGGATTATTTAGGCATAATAGCTGAAAGCTTTTCCTGAAAATAATATTGTTCCATTTGGACATAACAAAGCATAGCTTCAGGGAGTTAACGTTTGCATCCAAGGTCACCTTAAGAATGTCGATACCAGGTTTGAGTCAGGCATCCAGCTGTGTAAGATGGATGTTTAAACCGTTGCAAGGACAAATGAAGGAGCTAATTCCCAGGACCTTCTATAACACTGGGATGCCATATTATGTTGCTGGTACTGGAGGGTTTGAGTTATAGGGAGAGTCTGGATAGGCTGAGACATTTTACACTTGAGCATAGGAGGTTTAGGTGCGATCTAAATATTTATAAAATCATGAGGGGCGTAGAATAGCAAAAGTCTTTTCCGTAGGATGGGGGAGTTCAAAGCTAGGGAGCATATTTTCAAGGTGAGAGGAGATGGATTTAAAAGGGACCTAAGGGGTAACATTTTCACACAGAGAATAGTTTGTAGGTGGAATGAACTGCTGGAGGAAGTGGTAGATGCAGGTAAAGTTACAACATTTGAAAGACATTTGGACAGGTACATAAATAGGAAAGATGTGGAGGTGCCAGGGTCAGACTGGGGTGGACAAGGTCCAAAGTCACATGACATCAGGTTATAGTCCAACAGGTTTATTTGAAATCACAAGCTTTCGTAGTACTGCCCCTTGGTCAGGTGAGGTGAAGAAAGCACCCAGGCACAGACTTAACATCAGAGAGATCAAAAGATCATACAAATGGTGTGACTGGAATATCAACAGGCCAAATAATAGGTCTATTGTAGGTGATCGAGAGTGTCAGACGGTGTGAATAAAGTGTCAACAGCTGAATAACAAGAGAAGGGATAGCCTGTAATCCGATTAAATGAGGCAGAGAGATAATTACACAAAATTAAAACTACTGTGCTGCTGTAGACAAACCAAATGACTGGAATAATATGCTAGGTATAAAAGTCACACGCCGAGGGTCTAACCAAAGTAACAAGTAATGCAAAACTGTACAAACTAATTAGGTAGAGAGATCATAACAAGTTATCAAGGTGATGGTGTCAAAACAGAACAGTAAGGAGGATTTTACTGAACAGTATGGTGGGGTCACATATAGCGCCACATGGACCCAACATCACGGTTGAGGCCACCTTCGTGGGTATGAAACCTGGCTATCAGTCTCTGTTCAACAGTTCTGCGTTGTTGCGTATCTCGAAGGCCGCGTTGGAGGACGCGTTCCCGAAGATCGGCGGCTGAACGTCCTTGACCACTGAAGTGTTCCCCGACTGCGAGGGAATATGCCTGTATGGCGATTGTTGCTTGGTGTCCATTCATCCGTTGTCTTAGCATCTGCACGGTCTCGCCAATATACCATGCCTCGGGGCATCATTGCCTGCAGCGTATGAGGTAGACAATTTTGGCCGAGTCACATGAGTACCTACCATGTACGTGGTGGGTGCTGTATATTCTTCACTTCACCCGACCAAGGGGCAATGCTGCGAAAGCTTGTGATTTCAAATAAACCTGTTGGACTATAACCTGGCGTTGGGGTGACTTTTGACCATGGATAGGGAAGGTTCAGAGGGATACGGGCCAAATGCAAGCAAGTAGGACTAGTTTAGTTTAAGAAACTTGATCAGCATGCACATGTTCGACCAAAGAGTCTGTTTCTGCACTGTTTGACTCCATGACCCCTCTTCATGGAGGCGTTCCTCCAGTGGTAGTCTATAGAAGGACCCTTTTGGAAAGGGCAGCAGGCTCCTTCTGCCCCCTATCATCTCACACCCTCACCACCTTTGGAGATCCATTAGTGGGGACGTCCCTATCATAGAGAAAATTTTTGAAGGAGCAACAGAAGGAGCTAATTTGATCCATTTTAGACATAACTGACTCATTATCCATTTGAAAATACTATGAGAGTAGAATAGACAAATTCAGGTTGAACTTTGAAATGCTGTTCTGTGTTCATTATTGGACAATTTGCTAGTATGTCATAGCAGTTCACTTCAGTTCCCCTAAATCATCATAAAGCAGTGTCTTATTAAAATTGATAAGGCTCAGACATCAATTCTCCTGCTGTCAGGATCTAGTACAGCAATATAACCTGACCCTAACTCAAACCATTCAAGTACTTTGGACCAAAACCCTCCTGCAAACAAGGCAGAAAACCATTTAAAGAAAGTGCCATGGATGAATGATGTTATGACACATACAAAGTATAACATCTCAGGTTTCTAAAAAATCTGGTTGGAATGTAGGCAAACAAGAAATAACTTTGATTTAAGATTAGAACATACTGCCAATGAAATTACAACAAAATGAATATATTTATCAGCAGTAATTCAATTTTAAAAGAAGTTTTGCCAAGTGCATAAATGAGTAATTTGATATATAAAATTCATGGTGGTGCGACGCCAGATACATAGCCATTACATTGCAACAACAGGCAGGCTGTATGAGTGCAACACAAAAGGTTTCGCCAGTGTGTCATTTTTCTTTTGGCAATATTCAACTTCTGTGTTACCAAACCACTCATTAAATCTTCACCTAGAGCTTAATTTTCCAACTGGGGCCAGCAGCAGGAACCGTGCTGCAGTGGGGCCTAGTTTCCTGGATGAGGCGAGGACTCTCTTTCCTGGGAGTGGTATTGGCCACTTAGCGCCAGGGTTTCTCCAGCCCGTGGACAAATGAACCCAATTTTCTCCCACTCCACCTTGGGGTCTCTTTCTGGCACGGCTGAATGTCCCAAATCCACCACTAGATTCTTTCATCATGTTCAAATTGAAACTTTAGGAAAGATAACTAAAGTCAAAAGATGTCACAACCCCCTCACAGGATTACGAGTAAATGATTTTACTTATTTGTGTGACCTCACTTCAGAAGTGGTTCATTTGCTGTCAAGTACTTTTGGACATCCTGAGTTTTGGACATCCTGCGAAAGGTAAGGGGAAAAAACAGATTTCTGTTTCTTATTTGTCCAGTTTTGAATTTATGAATTTGAACTA